TAGTGCTAAATAGCATATGAGTTGTTTAAGTAGTTTTTATTTATATAAGAAACTTAATCATATTAGTATGTACAATTAAAATTTGGGTTCCCCAATTACAATTTTTAAATTTAAAATTTAGTTTATCAAATAAGTAAAAAGACAAAAACACACTCAGAATAAAAATATTTTAAAGTAAACTTTTTAAAATCCGGAATCAAGAGCAAATTTTTTAATGAGGAGAATTGAAACTAAATTTGAATTCTAAAGGATTCCAATTGCAGACAATATGAAAGTGAACGTTCTGATTTGAATTATTTGACTTTTGAAAAGAGTTTTGTGGTGTTCCACATTCTAATTCACTACAAATTTTTCTTTTTTCCGTGAGAATATTAATACGGTCTTGTTTTAAGAACAAAAGTACGAAGTTCAGTCATTACTGTGCCGTTTATGCTTTAATACTTAAGTACCGCTTAAAGGATCAAGTATTTTTTCAAATTAATTTTATTACTAATTAAAAATATTAGTAATTCAATAAAGAAATTTTTGTAAGCTAAAGCATACATTTTTAATTATCGAAACCTAATCTTAAACGTCATTATCATGGCTATAAAAAATGACAGTCTATGTGTTAAAAATCGGTAAAAATTTGAAATATTTTTTAATATTTAAAAAACAAATTCTAGCTGTAATTCAATTTTCAGGAAATATTTTTAATATTTGTTAATAATTTCCGCTGTTCTAAAAAAAATTTTATAAAATATTGTAATAATCACAAATAAACAAATTAATTACATTAGGTAGCAAATTTGTATATTTCAAGATTTGGGTGTAGCGAGTGCTAAGTAAATTAATTTTTTTATATTTAAGCTGTGTGCCTAAGTATTTTACATTTTTAAGCTTTAGATTTTCTCTATTTTTAATATTTCAAGGACAAGGTTACTTTGATTCTGTTAGCATAGAAAAAGTTTTTATGTTTTATGATTTTTTTTATATACAAACAATTATTTTTATGTAATAAGAAAATAATTTAAATTTTTTTTTTGAGAGGTATGCAAAGCTACATTTTGTCACTTTAAGGTCTGAACTACCCTAAGTCAATTTTTGAACAAAACTGATGGTTCAAAATTTTGTAATTTAAAACTTTATTCTAGACGTATATGTAATTTTCTTATATAGGCAATCGATTTTCGGACTTGATTTTCTAAAAAAAATAAAGAATGGAATTAAAAAATGAATAAACTTTTACTATATGTAATAAGTGACAAATTCCAGAGCAAGAGCAGTTCTCACTTTTCTAAAAATCACTCTTCTGAAAACTCTTCAAAGCTAACTTAGAGACTCTTAATTCTTACGAAAACATTGAAATAAATTGATTTGAAATGAAAATTTTTACTATTACCACTAAGAAAGTGAATGAAAGCATTAGGGTGGATCAAACAAATTGCATTTTTTTTTCTTTTATAAAAACCAATCTTTTTTATTGCAACTAAGTTAAATTTAACCTAACAAACAATTTTCTTATAGCAATATTAGGTGTGAGAGGGAGGACTGTTCACTGACTGTAACCCCGATTCGATTTTAACTTTTAGTACCTAACTTTTAACACTGGGTCCATGGGTTTTCATCTTTTCAGACGACGAAGGATTTCGTTGTTTTATACCCCTCGCATTTCAGCATTTTGGTGATGTACTATTCTGTTAATATGTTTGATGGTGGATTTCACGATTTCCTCATCCAATGTGCTCATATTCAGATCTCTGTGAATTGTGGTGTTTCTGACATACCAAGGTGCCCCCACAATATTGCGTAGCACCCTGTTTTGAAAGGTTTAAATAATTTTCCTATTAGATGGCTTTGTACAACACCACAGCTATATTTCATACATAGAAGTCGGCTTCACGATCTGCTTGTATATTAACAATTTATTGTGAAGACTGACTTCTGAATATCGGCCCATCAGCCAATTTAGCTTTTGATTGTGATATTTAGTTCAATTTTTTTCTTTTTCACATGGTTTTTTTCACATGCTCGTAGTTTGGCATCTAAGGTCATTCCAAGATACTTTGCCTCGTTTGCAAATGGTACAGCATGACCGTTCATAATAATAGGTACAAATTGGATTTAAAATCACAAATTAATTGTCATAGACAAATATGCTTCTTAAATGTTATAATTGAGCTTAAATATTTTGTATAGGAGATAAATACTCGTACAAAATCATTTGTCGAAAATTTGAAATATTATACGAATTGACTGTAAGTCGCCATATATGACATTGTTTTTTGCTAAAATTTATTTGTCATACAACAATTTTTGAAAATACTGAATTAAAAAATTTGTGAATTAACGGTATTTGTTCAAAAAGTACCATTATTAGCATATTGTTTTTAAGTCTGAATCAAATAGTTATGCTTAAGTATAACCTTTAATTACTTATCAAAGTAAAGAGCTTTATTTTTGCTCCTATTGAGCACTCATTTCACCTGTCTTAAAGGTTTCCCCTTCATATCTATTCGAATCGAATGTTAATTAAATTATCTATATCTTTTAAAAATTTATAAAATCTCAAATCGAATAAGTCTTAACTTGAGGCCTATAATTATTTGAACAATAACAAAAGAATTTTTTTTGTTAGAAATAAATTTGTGTAGCATTTGTGTAGTTGCATATAGTTTGTCTTTAATTAATCGAGGTCATTTTATATTTTTTAATTCGAAAATTACAACAAAAAAAAACAAACAATAGATCTTAATATAATAAAGTGCCTATTTCTCAAGTCCTTGATTCTTTTGTTCTGTTTCATTTCACAAAACAAAAAAACAAGAAAAAATCTCTCATATTTAATCTGTCATTATCTCTCATTGCAATCTTAAAGTTAAACTTTTTTTAAAAATTTCAACCAAACTGTCATAAGTATTGTATTCAAATGGTATGTTGTATAACCTATATTTAATTTTATTTAGAAAAATCTAAAGAAGAAAAAAAAGTTAAACTTAAAATTGTTATTTTTTTTTTAATTATGAGTATTGCGCATAAATACAATAAAATGAATTGATATTTTTTATAAGAGAGTCATATTAAATTTGACATTTTCAATTTAAGGAAAAATGACATGGAAAATAATTTTTCACCTCTAAAATAAATAAATTTAGACAACAAATTTGTCAAAGTTTTGAGTTTTAAATAAGAAACTGTCAAAAATAAATATTTTATTAATTTATTGTTCGCCTATAATTATGCTAATCTTGTACTTCAATATTTGTCAAATTCTTCTGGTTTAATTTAATTTCAATGTGACTAAAAAATTTTGCATCCTACTCCTACCAATAAAGTTTTAATAAAAAATCGATTTCAGATGAAAATATTTATAATTGAACTGCGGATAAAATTTTCATATCTAAGGGCCTGATCGTTTATCTCACTATTTTACTCGGAGTAACTAAGTGAGAAAAAAGTGAGTAACTATCATATATTTGTATAATGTAATTTTCGAGTGAGAAGAATTAATTGGTATTGCGTATCTCGTTTTTTTCTAAAATGCATACAAAATTTATTCACTTTGTTTTTGAAAGTGAGACGTTCAGTCGATAATTTTAGAAAAAACTCAAAAATCTGATTGAAAAAATGAGCAATTTTATTATAAAAATAAAGCGTCCATGAGAAAATACTGAGAATTCTGATATGAAAGAGAATTGAAAAAGTGAGTAAAAAAGTGAGATACACGATCAGGCTGTAAATAAAGTTTGACATAAAGAAACCCTATTTCTCTTATTATTCGATTTTTTCGATAACAAACTTTCAGTTTAGGATTTCCTCTGTTATTTTAAATTGATTTGAATGCTAATTATCGTTAGAAAAATATTTTTGAGTTTTGGTAAATTAGAGTAATTTCGAATACAGATTCTCTCATTTTGAGTTATTTGAGTATAGTAAAGGTATTATTAACCCTTTGTATACATACGTTTTTCAAGAATAGGTTTTAATTTATAAAGTATTTAACATAACAAACTACTAAGAAATTAAAAACTACACAACTATAATTTTTACAACCAAACTATTAATAATTCAACATTGTTGTCCGAAAACCGAACAATGAACTAAAATATAATTTTTTATTTAATTTTACAGAATTAATTTAATTAATTTTCTTTAATAAATATGATGAATTTAATTATTTGTTGTGAATATAAAATAAATATTTAAATGTGTTGTTAAATTATTCATACAACTATTTGAATTTAAGCACTACAATTAATTTGTGATAAATACAAAAAAATTTTATTTAATAAGTATAAAAGTTTATAAATGATGGATGATAATGACAATATTCTAGATGTAAGTAAATTTTGATTTAAAACTTTAAAGCTAAAACTTTTTTATTGTCCAATAAATGCTCCAATAAAATTAGGGAAAAACACAATAAAACTTACTCTCCAATAAATTTGCAATCAATAAAAATAATTCTACAAAATGAAAATTTAATCAATAATCCTTGGATTATTTCCAAAATGGGGGTGAAAATGAAAACATTTTTGTATGTTTAAGTATATTAGAGTGAAAAATTGATTTTATAATTATGATCACTATTCACATATAAAAAACTTTTCTACTAGAAGGTGACAATCGTTGAAATGTGAAGGTGACAAATGCGTTGTGAATGTGGCACGTGAGAATAATAATGTGTTTGTGTTCAAACTGTCCCAACAAGTAAAAACTACACCTACATTATTTATGCATAATAATTTGACAATAAATATTATGTAAAATCGAATAAGAGCATAATTTACTATCGCGTCTGTATATCGTATTATCTCTTAGAGAGATAAGATTTCTCTCTCAAGCTAAGAATTAATCATGAAAGCTGATGTCATGATTTTCATTAATTTTTTGTGCATTCACCTCAACATATTTTTTTTTTTTTATTTAATTTTACTTTTTTTAATTTTTAAAAAATTTTGGTTTTGATTTTTTTTATGTTTTATTTTAAATTTTATTTTTATTTTTTTTTTCAATTTTAGTTCCAAAAAATGAATTTTTCTCCTTTTGCTGCAACACAATTTGCTGGTTTAACAGCAAATGCTGTTAATCAATTTGCTACATCAAAGTTTGCTCATAATTTAACAGGTGCAAATGGACAAGTAAGTTTTGTTTTATAACATAAGTACTTTTAATTATATTTTTTTTTATTTTTATTAATTATTTCAATTGAATTTAAAAAGTATAAAAATTTTTTAATACTACATATGTAATATTTCAAATTTAAAGCTGCAAAGCGATGCGACAATTTCGATTTATAAATGAAAAGTACTTTAAATTTCCTTGATTAATCCTAAAATGCGTAACTAATAACATAATTTTCGTTTCAAAAAGTGTTTCAAAAATTTCTAAGGTCTTGAATACTTTCACTTTTAAATAAACTTAAAATTTTGAATTGTGAAATTTTGCCAGTGTACGAATTTAAATACAGAATTTTTCAAAAAATGGCGATTCTCTCTTCAATAATTTCACTACATTAAAAAGATGTTTCAGGCGTGTACCAAAAGTTATCGTGTACTATATAGTTAGTACATAAGATTGTACTATATAGTTAGTACAATCATACGTGGAAAATCGATTTCTTGCGTCACTATAATACAAAATACTGTGTTACAAAAGTTACATAATATTTAAATAACATATACAAAGTTTTTACTCTATGTCTACTATTAGAGTTTTAATTTAAAATCCAATAAATTATTTATACTTTCCAAATAACTCAATTAATAATAATTAAAATATTGTAATTCAATTTAAAAAGGATACAAAATTAATAAATTTAATTTTACGAACTACATCTGAATTAAGTAATTCCATATACTTTTACCATTTTTGAATATCTTTGCAATTTAATAACCTAGATTTCTGAATCCAGTCTACATTAAATATTTTATTATTTATTGAAACAAATAACAAGAATTACACAAACGTTTAAATGTGTCAAAATCAAAATTAATTTCAGGATCTTATAACATTTCATATAATACAATTGCGTATTTAAATACAGACACACATAAACTTATCATATAACGACCGCACAATCACAACATACGAATATAATGCGAAAATTTAAAAAGAAATTACATGAATGTTGCTTTTTCTTCATTTTAGAAAATGTCAACAGTTTTGACATAATATGTAACTTGTTTGACATATCTTAAACAAAACATATAAAATTTATAGACAAGGAAGTAACTTAACTCTAAAATAAAATGGCAACATTAAAAAATTTAATGAATCAAACCCATAAATTTGTAAAACGGAGCACTTCTCTTTAACAATTTAAATCCAGAGCTTGTGAGAGCCAAACTTTGAGTCTAGAGAATGAAAACGATCGATTTTACAAACAATTCTCTTATAATCATAATTTTTGCATAAATTTAGAAAAATTTTGGAGTAATAATTTTTTTGTATAATTTAATTTATCCTGGGAAATCTGTGATGAAGACACTTGTGTGAAGAAATTTCCTTTAAGTTAATAAGGGAAATCTGTCTTTCGAGGCAGAGTTATTTTGTTCTAACCAAACGAAATGTTTATCGATATTTATAAATTCTTAATTTCAAACATATCCGAGTTGTCATGCAGGAAAAAATGATTCTGTAATTAAGATGACGGTGGATTTAAAGGATAAAATTGACTGTCCGGAATTTGCTAATAATTTTTTATAGAGGAAAAAAGTTTTTCTTGATAAATTTTGTATTTTGACCGAATTTAATAACTGCTTTAGGTCTGGAAACTTAGAAAATGAGAAATCTTTAACGAGGATGAAGAATGTACAAAATTTTTCTTTTCTGAAGGAAGAATGTTCTCACTATAAGGCATTTGTCTTTGTGTACAATATTTCTTCATTATGTCTTGATCACGATTGCAATATTTGAATTCAAAATACTTAAAATAATAATAAAATATTTTTAGTAATAAATTTACAAATTGCTATAAAGTATAAATTAATTATAAATATACAAAAAATTAAGAGCCAAACCTTTCACCTTCAAAAACGCAAAAAAAAAAAAAAAGAGAGGCAAAATAAAATTAACAATAAAAATGAAAAAAAATCCTTAATTATTTGTTTATGTTTTTATTTTCCATAAATTTTATAGAGACAATAACAATTCATCAAAATACATACATATAGAAAAGTGTAGGCTAAACTAGTAAACCGCCGTATTTAGTAGAAACATTAAAAAAACCGCAAACACAACAAATTTGACATGAAAAACAAAAACAAGAAAACAATGAAAAACTTATCTACACTTTGAATCTTTTGTCATATTTTGCCCATTAAATAAATTGCACTGTTCGTCAACCACTTTGTATAACACGATTCTCTTATAAATGAATTGCGCTCTTCTCAATATTTGAATTGTTCTTAAATTACAAAAAAAAAATTACAATCACTCGAATTCATTTTTTATTTTAACTTCAATTTTAAGAGTTTTTTTTATACATACAGCTGGCATTATTGTTATAAATAAATTGTTAATCAAAATGTGAATAGAATATTTTAAGGTTAAAAAAACTTAACACTAAAAGAAGATCTATGATTATAGCCTTTTCACAACATCCTTGAAAACATTTCAGATTTTACTTGAATATTCAGACATTTCTTACATTTAATAAAAAAATAAAAACTAATTAAAATTCTAAGCATTATTCCGGTTAAATATATTTTCTTTAATAATTTTTTTAATAAATAAAATTTTATTATAACAATAACGAAAATATTAAAAAAATTTTTTTTTTATATTCCAGATTGTTGGTGTTGTTTCTGGTGGTGATGGTGGTGTTAGTTATTTAAGACCAATTGATACTAATAATAGTAGTCCATTTTCACCATCATCAAATCATCATTTATCACCACACCAAAATCATCAAACACACCAACAACAACAGCAACAGTCAATGAATGAATCTCCATTACATCAACAGCAGCATCATCAACAGCAATCAGAATCGCAATCTCAAGTACAACAGCAAGCTTTAATAACATTACCAATAACAATGCCAGGTGCAAAACCTGGTGATGCAGCACAAACTGTTCATATACAAGTAATTAATCCAAATCCAATACCACAACCGGCACCAACAACAAAAATACATATGGGACAAATGCAAATACCAATACAAAGTTTTCAACCTGGTGGTACAACTGTTTTAACAGTTGCATATAGTCCACAAGATGGTAAATTTTTGCCAAATCATGGTTTTCCAGAAGGTATGACGGTTGTTGCGGCACTTCAGCCACAAGATTTACAAATCTTAGCACAAGCACAAGCTCAAGCAAATGCTCAATTATTAAATAATCAACAACATCAATTAACAAATGGTAATCAACAAAATTCAAATCAACAACAACAAAATCAAGAGACTGCTATTAATTTAAATGGTGATTTAGGTAGAGATTTAAATGACGATGAAATAATTGTTAAACAAGAACCAACAGATTGGGATAATACAACTGTAGCTTTAACAAATACAACACAACCAGATCTTTCCGAATTTATTACAACACATTCCCAAGCGCCTAGTTTACCAATGACATTAACTCCATTTCTTAAATTTAATCCAAATTCAATTAAGGTAAAATTTTTCTGAATTTTAATTTTATTAAAAAAAAAAAAACATTTTAAATTTTTTAAATTTAATTTATTCAATACAGTATGAAACACCTGATTTTACAATAGAAAAATTTGATACAGAGCAGCTTTTAAATTCAGGTTTAGAACCACCATCACCAATACAAAATGTTTCATCACTTTTATCACCAACTGAACAAAATAATAGTTCAATTGATGAGGGTAGCGGTAGTGGTAATGTAACAACAACAAATGGTACACCAATTAAACAAAAACGAAAAAGACGTGTTAAAAAACCAAAAGTTGTTAAACCAAAACCACCAAAACCTGGACAAGTTTTAATAGCAACAACAACCGATGGTACAGTTTTATTTTGTTGTCCAGAATGTCAAATGGCATATCCGGAAAAAGAAAATTTAGAACAACATTTAACTGAACATAAAATTGAGAGGCGATATATTTGCGATATATGTGGTGCTGGTCTTAAACGTAAAGAACATTTAGAGAGGCATAAATCTGGTCATAATCCGGAACGACCTTATATATGTAGTGTTTGTATGAAAGGTTTTAAACGAAAAGAACATTTAAATTTACATTTTGTGATTCATAGTGGTGAAAAAAATGAGGTGAGTTTCTTTGTTTTTAGTAAATCTTTGTAGAAACAACTCCGAGTTTCTCACTTCGTTCCCGTATTATTTGTAATTACATAAATTCATAAAATTTAAATTAAATCATATACAAAAAACTTAAGAGAGAAACTTTAATTTTTAATTGTTTTAGTAAAATTTAAAAAATAAATTTTTTTTTTCAATTTTAATTTTCTTTTATTGTAATTTTAGATTTGTGGTGAATGTGGAAAAGGTTTTTATCGAAAGGATCATTTACGTAAACACACAAATTCTCATATAGCAAAACGATTAAAAGAAGAAATGAATGCTAGAGAGGGTATTACACCGACTACACCAAAAAATAAAAAAAATAAAAATAATATTAACAATAATGTAAATCTATTAGACGGATCATCATCGATTGGATGTGCAAATAACAATAATAATAATAACAATAATAGTATTAACAATAATAATATTAATAGTAATAATAATAACATTAATAATAATAATAATGAAATTCATTCACCTTTAGCTGGAAATGACAATAATAATATTTTAATGCAAACATCAATACAAATTGGTGATTCAATAAATCCTCAACAAATGCAATTAGATCCAATACAAATTACATCAAATATAAATAATTTAAATAATAATAATAAAAGTAGTAATAATAATAATAATAATAGTGATAATAATAATTTAAATACAGATAATAATAATGCAATTAATATTAGTATAAATCAAAATTGTGGAAATACTCAAACAACCCAACCGGCTATAGCATTATCAACAGTATACGTAAGTTTTCTTCTCTTCTATGCATAAGGGTTCACTGTTGGTTTTTACACTCGTATTGTTACACTAATAAAATTAAATATTTGCTTTATGTCAAAAAAAAATCCATTTGCAATGACGGTCATTTCCGCGAAATTTTTTTGAATATGAGTGTAAACACCATCTAAAAATTTCTAAATTGGTACTTTATCTTCAAATCAATCCTCGAATTTCGTACGTTATAATAAAAATCTTAAAAATAAACTTAATATAAAATCTATTTTATTTTCTATTTAAAATTATTTAAATAATAATTAAATTTTTGTTTTTTTTTTAGGTTCCAACAAGTAATAATACAACATTGCCTGTACAAATACAAATTCCTCAAATAATAACAACTAGTAAACCGGATGGTACTACAGAAAGTACTATTGTTATGCCCACAACAACAACAGAATCTCAAAATTCAACGACAATAATGTCAACATCATAAGAACAATAAAAGAAAATTCTTTTAGTTAATATCAAATAAATGAATTTTGAAGATTGGAAGAGAAAGTAAAAAAAAAATGTATTTTTATTAGCATTTTAGAGAAAAATCTTTCTTATGAAGACCAAATAAAAGAAAAAATTAAAAATAAGAAATTTATGTATGTACATTGTAAAAAATTATTTAATTTTAAATTTTGATCCAAACACAATATGTAATTACGAAAATCTACCTGTTTTTCTAAGTGTTCAAGTCTTTTAATTATTTTGAGATTATAAATTCAATAATATTTAATTTACTTATTAAATAATAAGTTTTAAATCATTTATTAAATTTGCTTTTCGTATTACTCAGAATTACTAATTTTTTTTAAGTTGCTAGGTTTTAGCTTAATAAAATCAATAGCATTTTATATCTTTGTTAAACATATAATTTTTAACATTTTTATTTATTTTTTTTGTATTATATTCAAATTAAGTCAGAGCTTACAATTCGAATTCAAAATTGTCAACTTATGATATAGTTTTATTATTCTTATTTTTGAAAATTCTGTTCTAATTTAGATCTTAATTTAAAACAAGTTCTAAGAATTAAAACTACAAAATCTTTAAATGTAGCATGTGATTAATCTTTAATAAAAAAGAAGTACATTCAAAAATTGCATTGTACTTAAAATTTTTAAGGATTTTGAAAGATTTTTTTTAAATGCTACAAAAATATTTTAAGTTAAAAAAAAATTATATACAAAAATGTAAGACATTAAAAATCTAATAATTTCTATAAAAATCTAATAATTTCTATCTAATAATCTTTATAAAAATTTATTAATAAATTTTTATAAAGATTTTTAAGACTTATAAGTTCATATCTGAATTATCGAAATCCACAAATATCACTTTTGGGGATTTTCGACAATTCAGTTCTAATTTATTCTGCAAAAGTAGCATAATTAGAAAAATTTTTCATAAAAAAGAGCACGATTGAAAACGTACATGAGAATTGCTCTTCTTAAAAGGACTTTAAAAATTTTGTCATAAATGCTATAAAAATATTTTAAGTTAGGAAAAAATGAATGATCAATGTAGAAAATTACGGGATAATGAAAACATTCAAAAAGAGATTTTTAAGATTTAAGTTAGAACTTTTCTTTTAATTATGCATTTTTTAGTTATCGAAAATTCTACCTAAATTAAGTTTCTATTCGATGTTTTTCCACCAATTTATTTAAAGAAAAAAATAAAATTTGACAACCAAATATTAAATACTATTTTTTATAAACTTTAAATCCTTGAACATTATAAAATAATAAATAAAATAACACGAAACATATCGAAATTAACTATATAAAAAACTTAATTGAAAAAGTTTATTTTCCTGTACTTTGTTGAATTTAATTATATACAAAATGTTTGTATTATAAATGTCTTCATTTCACTATATTATTTACATTAAAAAAATTATACATATGTTGGACATAAATAGAAAAGTTATCGAATTTTTGAATTGTAATTTCCATATATGTAGTTATTTAATTTTGTCTTTTTTGTCAAAACATTATTCTTATAAAATATGTCAAAATATTAAAAAGAAATTACAAGTTAATTAAAATAGATATTTAAAAGAAAAAAGAAGTATTTGTTCTAAAAATGCATGTATTTAAGAAAATTTTACTTTATTATTTAATATAATTTTTCCTATTATATATTTTGGAAAATTAAAATCAAATTGTTATTAAATTTATTAATAAAATGGATGGTTTATTTTAAGAGTGATCTAGGTGCATTTGCAATTTCCGAACTCTTATTTCCAAAGCAATGATAATTTCAATAATTAGAATTAAAGTTGATGTTACGGGATAGAAAAATAAATATTTTATAAAGCAAATAACCAGTTAATTGAATTTTTGGTTAGGCCACTTTTTAAAATAAACCATGGACTTAGGTCACTTTTTTTAAACTATACAAATAATATGGTCTTATTAAATCAATCAAAGTGTTAATAATAAATTAAATTGTTGTTAACAAACTATCAAACAATTATTAATTTCTCTATTTAATTATACTTATACTTTAAAAAAAAAATTGACCAATAAATTTAAGAAAAACTGTTTTATTTTAATAAAGGCTTCTAAAAATAATATACATACAATGTATAATAGAATAGAATACATATTTTGAAAATAATATTTCTGTCTTCTAAAATGTGATAATATTGAAAAAATATATATATATATACATGTGTAAATATATATCTTAAAATATATATATATATTTTTCAAAAAACTCTTCTTTTAAAGTAAAAAAAAACTTAGCTTAAAATATCGTCCTTGTCATAAATGCTTACTCGTAACACCAAAAAATCCAAAATTTTGTAAATCCGAGTTTTGCAAATTTTCATCCTTATTCTCAATCTTATTATCGTAACACAAAATTCATTAGAAATTTCGAATTTATTATTCTCAATTATAATATTATTGTTAAAAAATTAGGTTTCGAAATTTGTAATAAAAAGTATTTTATTACAAATATATTCGTTTTCAAATAAATGTCAAAAGTTTTTGAATGAAAATATTCTAACTAGAGAGTCCAATCGTTACTAAAAAAATGAATTTCGCAATTTTCAGAATTAAATAAAATTAAATTCGGAATTCCAGTGTAATTCTGGGATTATTGCCAAACAAAAAATATCAAAAAGAAAAATAAATTTTTATTTAAAAATTTCGGAACTCGGTAATCCGGATTTGGATTCCCTAATTCTAACATACTAGTGAGTGTGAACATGATTTTTTTTTTTAGGAAACCCGTTTTTTTTTGTTTTAAAGAAATAAATAAATTGAAGTAATTCTATTTTTCGTATATTCATGTTATTTTAAAATATATATTTGTTTGAATTTTTAAAATTCATTTTACCATTTTTTTCTGCAGTTTTTCTAGTTAAAAATGTAAAAATTAAGCAGTTCACAATTTTAATTTAAAATTTTTGAAGATTGTAGATTTATAATCGTGACGAATGAAATTTATAGCTTACAATTTTACATGCGTATAACCAAGTTTGTAATTCATAGGAATCTATGATTGTAATATTTGATAGAGACTGTTATATACATATATATATGTAATTTTAAATTAATAAAAGAATAAATGTTAAATTTAGAAAACTTAATTGAAACAAGAATCTTTTTACTTTACAAATGTACATAATATTTCAAATTTAAGTGAAAAATAAACATCACATATTAATTTTTTTTTTTTTGTTCAAATTCCAAAATTAATATATTAAATAAATAAGAAAATGTAGCGTTTTGATGCTATTAAAATTATAATTATAAAAATGATGAAAACAAAGAAAAAAATTAAACAAAAAATGTTATTTAGGTAATTAAGAAAATTATATAATGAGCTTTTATTTATTATTATTTTTTTTTACATAAATTATATAATAGAAACAAATTGTTTAATTAGAATATTTAACATAATTAATTTAATTACATTTTTTTAAGAACTTTTATCAGTAAAAAATAAAAGTAATATATCACTCTCTCTATCTTTCTCTCTCACCCTGTTTATTTTCTAAGACGCATCATATGTAATTAAAATGTATTCTCATTAAAATCTTCAAAGTAAAATCAATATTAAAATTTGAGGTTATAAATACTCAAATTGGGTCTAAAAAAAATAAAATAATAGATCTTACTTATTCTGAGTATTAAATCACTGAGTGATATTGATATCACTAAGTGATATCGTTAAAGTTTCAAATACACTAAGTCCTCGAAATACGACATTTTTCCGGTTCCAGAAATTTATGTCGTAATTCGAACTGTCGTTTGAGGATGAAAAAAACATATATGAAAACAAAAAGTGAACTCGACAAACTATTTTATAATATAATTGACCTTGTTTTTAAAAAAAGATAAAAGAATTAAAAAAAAACAAGCAATAAAATATAATAACGGAACCAAAAAATTCGATTTTTTGACAAAAATAAATAAACTAAAATCTGATTAAGTTAACTTCAATTCTTGTATATTAGTATATTACTTCAATTCGTATTTTTAAATACTGACTAGCATTTTTAACTAGAAAAAGTTCATTATTGAAATATGTGCTTTAATCTTGTCATATAACTAAATTCTATATAGATTTTTATTCAAAAAATAGTAAAATCTATCATAAAAAATTTTTAAATTTTTAATGTCGTATCAGGAACAATGTCGCAAGCCGAATAAAAATGGTTCAAATTTATATCATGTCGTAACTCGAAATGTCGTATTAGAAGATGTCGTATCTTGAGGACTTAGTGTACTTCATTATAGACACGAATCAATTTTATATCAATTGATTTGAGTTCACAAAAATAACATCAAATTTTTTACAATTTACAATCACTGTCATTTAGTCCTATGATGCTCATAATGAGCTTCAATATCCTATCACTTCCATTTAATGCATCTTAGAAAATATGTGGGTGTACATGTTTACACATAAATCTATTGATGCTTCCATTTTAGATTGATTCTCTTTGAAAATAAAGTTTAATTAAATTAATTACTCCATTATTTAATAATGAAAATCTATTTAATAAAATGAAATAATTGAAAAAACAAAAACACTAAAATAAACATTTAATTTTACGACATTATACAAAATACTTTATATTATATAAAAAATGACGAAAAATTAAAAAAAAAAAAAGTTTTTTAATAAAATAAGAAAATTTAAGTTATTTTTGTATCACACATACTTATGAACCCATTGTAATTTATAAAAAAGTTTTTTATTGAACAAAAATAAAAATTTATAAGAAAATAAATGTTTATACAAATTAAGTATTTTTTTAATACTCTCTAAAAGCGAAAATTATATACTAAGCCAGGGAAAAAAATTTTTTAAGACATTTTTTTTTTAATAATTTTTCTATTGTTATTTTAAGTTTTTCAAAAATGCATTCATATGTATGTATGTATATACATTTATATATGTATATAAAAATAATTTATTAAAATTGAAAAGCATTTGAATTAAGAAAAAAAAAATTGTTTATTTCTATTATTTGGGTAATATTTATAAAACGATTTTCAGGAACTTTCCAATTGAAATTGAAATGACTGTAAAATATAAGTAATTGTAAAAAGCATGACCAAACCGATGAGAAACGCGGACGATTTCCACTATTAACACAGAACAACAGCGGAACGTATACTGTAACAGTCCCATTTAAATATATATACATATATGCTTTATCAATTCTCCCATTCGCCGCTGAAATTCTCTCTTGTTCTGTTTTCAGCTGAAAACATAAGGTTATATGTTTTCATATGACCTTATATGAAAACATATAAGGTCATATGCATACGAATTTGTTATACTATGTGCGAATAAATATGCCATAAGTGACTATGGGTCAGACTATGACTTTGAGTTGCCGTATTACTATATTAATTTATGCAGTACTTTGTTTTTCAAAATACTGTGTGTGGCAAACTACTACTGAAGTTGTATGGCAGCTACCAGAAAGGGCTAAGCAATTTTGACGAATTTTATCAAACACATCGGCCCTACTAATATATTCGTATGTGTGAAATTTCAATACCATAGCTTTTATAGTTTCTGAGAAATAGCCAAAAACTTTTGAAGTTGTATGGCAGGTACCAGGAAGACCCCAGTAATTTTAACGACTTTTATCAGACACATGTGCCTTACTAATATATTCGTTTGTGTGAAATTTCAATATCACAGCTCTTATAGTTTCTGAGATATAGCCAAATAAATTTTGAAGTTATATGGCAGCTAGCCGAATCGGTACTCCGACAATGTCCAATTTAAATAGGGTTCTGACACTTACTACAATAAAACATTTGTGAAAATTTGGTGAACTTAGTTCAATTAATTTCGACTCAGAATTCGAACCTGATCAAAACGCTGATCAAAAACATACACTTGAGTCAAATCAAAAACAAAAGAACTGAAGAAAGTAAATCAAAGAACAAAAGGAATCGTTAATAAAGTGGTTGATCGCGTTCAATGATTGATTAGGCTAGTTTAGAAGAGTAAATTATGTAGATGCTTTATACATAAAAATGTATTTTTGCTATTTTACTAACTGTGCGTCTCATTATTTGTCACAAAAAACGTCCTTCTGCGACAAATTTGTGACATTTAGTCGCGTATATTTGGTTTATTTAGTATAATTAGATATTTTAACAGAAAAACTGAGTAATTTTATTAATTCCAGATTTGGCAGCAATTTCAAATATTAATCGAAAAAATTTTAATCGAGTTCTTTATTAATAGAAAACTCGCTTTAATTCAAAAACCAAAAAAAGTTCGAAAACATCTTTCTTACTCTAATTTACTGTTTGTTATTTGTAGTTATTTATACATTTTGCTGTTACTTAAAGCAATTTTCTAATTTTTTCCCATCAAAAAATTTCGGGTCTCGCTTCTTATGTCACGTCAATTCGCGTCTATTAGAATATCATAGAAATATGACGTGTCTATTAAAAAAGGCTGGGTTTTTTAGTTCACGACATTTACCGTTAGTTTTTCGCTTTTTTGAAATGCTTACATTGTTGTCATTGCTGTTTTTTCTGTCATAATTTAAATGTTTTTAATTTTACTTTGCAAACGCTAAATGACAGATACTATTTATGATATTTTACATAGGTCAAAATTATCTGAATGATTATTTTCTTGACACCTGTTTAGAATTGCAGATTGCCCTCTATTGTTGTAAAAAATGATGATTGAGTAATTAAAATAATAAGTGTTCATACGTCAAATTATTGTTAAAACTGCAAAATTTGACAATCATTTATGAACGTGAAGTTTTTGGAATATTTGAAAAATATCTGGCTACACCGCAAATGACGTATGATGATTAACATTTTTCTGAAAGAATTTGACTACGAAAGCACATCATATTGGTTATGCAAACAGTTTTATTAAGGTTGGTTACTTTTATATGAGTACATTTGTAACGTTAATAAAGTACTTTTCTGTTTTGTAATCTTTTGAGAATATTATTAGAAATATAACATTTTAGAATTTTCTGTATTTGATAATTAATAATATATTGACCTTGTATTTGGTTGCAGAATTTTATTTAATATTATGCGTATGAAACTATGTGATATGCTCTCATAATATCCAAAATAATAACCATGTAAAGCCAAAAATTAAAACACATCTGAAAAACTTGACATTTAAAAGCTTACATTTTTCCATTTTTTTAACTAAAAAAATTAAAAATTTTTTAATTTTTAAAAACATTTTTAAAATTCACACATACTGAATTAGGAGATGATATTAGCGAGGAATGAACTGCCATTTCATATAAGCTATTGCAAATTAGCTTACTATGTATTTGACGGATGAATTTTTTTTAAATTATTTTTTCTACAATTTCTTTTTTTGTGAGCTAGATGTAATTTCTAATGGCCTTTTTGTTATGTTATTACTTGTCAGCAAAATTTTACATTTTTTTGGAGATGTTTTTTGTTTCTTTCAAAAAAATTTCTCCAAAAAATTCATGTTGAATTCTTCAAAATGTTTATTTCTTTCAAAATGTTGTAGTACTCATGCCACTAAAATAAACCCAACATACAAAATAAAAAAATAGATGCTTTGACAATTTGTATTGTAAAATGGCAAATTACATCTTAACAATTATTGTGCGTGACAAATTGATATTAAATTTTATCTATGTGTAACAGAATATGAAATAAACATTTGTTATAAAATAAATAAAGTAATTAATTTTTTGACGTTTACAAATTCCATCTACACTTTCTTAAAATATAACTAAAGTCATGCTAAATTATGATTACATTTTGATTACATTTCAATTTTTTTTAAATTACTTTCCGATGATTTCACACAACTCATTATTTTAGCTGTCAAATTTTAACAAAAGTGATTTTATCATATATAATTACAACGCCCAAGAATTTAAGGTGAAAAGGAAAATAATTCTTTGAAAAGGAAAATTATAGTTTTATTACAAGAGAAATTTAAAAAATATATATTGTAATATAATTTCACGTGATTTTTAAAATTTAATAGAATTTGTAAGTTTAAGAAATAATTATTATTTACATATTTTTAAGAATCAAGATTGAAAATTAGTGAAAATTGCAATTCAGAAGAAGAAAAAAAAAACATTTTATCATAAAATACTAAAAAGAAATAGAAAAAATGAATGAGATAATTTAGTGCATGAAATTTTTTATTCTATTAACATTTCCAGATTTAATTTTAATAAAAATTCTATGAATAATTAATGTGTTTTGTGAAATTGAAATATTACTTTAAATTTGAAAATATTGAAGAGTAAAAATTAATTTTGTATAAAGTAAAAAAGAGTTTTTTTTTTAATTGATAGTCAGTCGTCTTGACGCGCTAGTTATTACTCTCTACACACCTCCATTTTAAGTGATGACGGCAATAAAAAAGAAGTAATATGTAAATATACATATATAAATATATATATATGTATACATGTGTATATTTTAAATTATTGATAAAATATTTAAAAAAAAAAAGAAAATTTGTTTTTAGGTAAAAAACAAAATTATTAAAAATATCTAATTATTCGGCTATAAAATATTAAAACAAGGTAAGATCAGATAAACAGCAAAATTTTTAGGTATTCCGAACATTCAAAGCTTTTTTTTTTACAAAAGATAGAAATTGCTCAAAGTGAAAACTTACAAATTATTAATTTATAGACTTCGTTCCCTAATTAAAATGAAATCTAAATGGGTACATTTAAGTACCTGTCTAAACTTTAACATATTATCGCACATACATATGTGCTTAAATAACAACATGTGTGCATAAGTATAAAAGTAAAGCTGAACATTTTTATATTTTCAGTTCTATGAACTTTCTTTAATTTAAATATTTAGGACAAATAAATTATTACTTTTATTCTTTGCATTCAATCACAAAGTATTGTATTATTGCTGACGATGAATACTTATTTATTAATTTCATAGTTTTCTTTTGTACAATTTATTTATTTTCAATTAAATTTCAAAAAAGAGGTGGAATATGTTAGCGCTTACAATATTAATATTACATTGTTCAGGTAGGCCAGGTATCTATTTACTTAATTATCATATAGAATTTCTCTATTTTGTCTTTTTTTAAATTACGTTCATATAAGTTAGTAAATAATTTTGAATAATATAGAAAAATCGTAAGTATATTTAAGATGATTGTTGATTAATATATGTATGTATTTGATTTTATTTAATATAAAAACAAAGTGAGCAAGTATTAAGTTTGAAAAAGCTTCCTATATTAGGCAACTGTAGGTGAATTCCTCATTCTTAATTTATAATTATTTATCGCCATTATTTTTAAGCTAATTATCTATCTATCCAGATAAAGTAAATTCTTATGTTAGCCATTTGATATTTCAAAATATTATTAACTTGTTAAGTAGGGGCCTGGATGTATTCAATATTATTGCAATATTAATCAAATTTATAAATATTAAGTTATTTAAATGAGAAATGCAAAAATTTTTATGTTTTAATATAATTTTTGAATTATAATTTGTTTAAAGGATATAATTTCTTTCCTCCAGCGTATCTCTCCCTAACTAATAGTTCAGGATTTATTTTAAAATATATAATTTTTACAATTGATTATGCTTATTAATTTGTATTCTTATCGAAACGAGAATGAATTCTTATCTTTTTAAGAAAGAATCAAATTTACAGGATCTAATTAAACATTGAGTTACTTATTCACATCTTAAAGTTGTAGATTTTGAAGTTTTAGATTTGATTAGGCTGTGAACCGTGTTAACAATGAATCATGACCGCTCATAAGGATTTATTGTGCCTCCAATAGGAAAAATTGCTCAGCATTTACGTAAAATTAAAAAAACTAAGATAAAGAATAGACCGGTTACTAATTATTTTTTTCATTTTTCATTACAGAACCTTTTAAATGCAAAAAATCAAAATTTTCTTCCTGATATATTTTATACTTAACAAACTATCAAAATTATCGGAAAATTTTTAGGGCATGCATCTTAATTTAATCTTTGCTTAAATCACTGTAAATCACTTAAAAAGTTTTTGTAAGGTTTCAAATTTTTGTTACATCTAAAAATTCAATTAATTATTAACATCTGAGTGTTTACATTTGTAGTTTCCAATGCAATAAAAGAAGTAGTTTCCAATGCAAAAATTTACAATTTTTCTTACAATTTGGATATTCTGATTAAAATTCTCTGAAAGAAACAATCATATGTACACGTAATATTTTTGAACAATATAATCACCGATGATGACTATTATTAATTAAGATTGTTAAAACAATTCAATGTCCAAAAATAAACGCTATTCGTTTAAAGTTAAATCTGTATACCTAGTCGACTATACAGACTCTTTGACGCGTTATTGCTTATTACATGTATTCAAAATATTCATAAATATTATAATCAAAATTTATTAACCAATTATTGAAGTTGCGCAAAAAACCTACCATAATAAAATACTACAATAATTACTTATTCGGCTTACAAAATATTTTTTAACCATAAGTAGCTGATAAATTTCTATAAATATCTATTTAAAATACTTACTTATATGAAGCTTACTTATTTATATATATATATATATATATATATATATATATATATATATATATATTTATATAAATATATTTTATTAAGAATAATATCTAGTAAGTATACAACTGAGTGTGATTGTTAGAGTATTCATTGTTTCTCCATTTTTATGAATTGAAATAAAAAAAAAAAATATAAAAAATTTTAATACCTAAGTATGCATACGATTTTCAAAAGTCTAGATAGTATATAATTATACATAAGCACAAATATGAGTCATATATATATATATATGCGAATAGGAAAAAAAAAGGTGGAAGAAGGGTGGGTGGGTGTATTTGTGTGCAAATTTTTTTTTTTTCCATACTAAAAATTTTTCTTGATTATTTTCCATTCATTTATGGTAACATTTTTTATTATTGCATTTATAAAGAAAACAATACAACGATGGGATATGACGACATAATAGAACTACGTTATAGTATCTATCGCATATTTTCGTAGTTCAAACTCTAAATAAATGGTAATACATTAAACAGAACTTTGAAAAATTGAAAAATTTTTTTTAGTTTTGTCATACTCCATTTAACAGTTTTGTTATTAATTTAAAAAAACTTATTCATATAGCTATGCATTTATATTTAAATTAGACTTGTCAACCATCCTGTTTTCGTCGGGACAGAGCAATTTTAGAGTTGAATATCTCGTGTTCCGCTGATACACTGAACGGAACATTATTTGTATTTTTAAAACAAAAAGAAAAAAAAACATTTTTAATTAAGTAAGGGCCTGATTGTCTATCTCGCTATTTTACTCGGAAAATGAGTAACTATCATATATTTGTATAATGTAAATTTCGAATGAAAAGAATTATTCCGATTGCATATGCAAAAGTTTTTCAATTTATTTTTTAAAGTGAAACATTCAGTCGATAATTTGAGAAAAAATGCAAAAATCCATTTGGAAATATAATAATCTTATTGGAAAACTGAAACATCCATTAAAAAAAACTGAGAATTCTGATTTGAAAGTGAATAAAATGTGAGCAAAAAAGTGAGTTGCACGATCAGGCTGCAATTGTAGCACTAAAAAAAAATTGGGAATCCTTTTTATACTCTACTACATTCTTATCATTTTTTTTCTAGTAACACAGGAAATTTTTTTTTTCGAATAGCAACACTGGTATTTTGAATTTTTTCTGCCGTCCCTAGGATGCTTGTTCCTTTAGTTAAAGCTATTGAATTATTGGCCCATTTTAATTTCAGTTTAGGATGTGCCCAATTTATTAAATTTATTCCTTCAAATAAAGAAATATTAAAAGCTGATAAAAGTGACAAAAAGTACAAATTTAAAATCAAAGACTTAAATAATTAACCAACTTACTTATATTTTATTTTTTATCTTTGTTATATAATTATGCTTGGATTAATTGAATTTTTGTTTTGTTTTGACCCAGATTTTACGCATAATGTGTTATTTTTAATAAATAAATAAGACGGATAATTATAAACGAATGGAATGATTTTTTTTGTGGCGTCCCGTTTTGTAAATCTTAAAAGATGGCAAGTCTAATTTAAATATATAAGTATATAAACATAAAGTATACCCACATGTAAGAGTTACGAACGATAAACAGGTCTAAAAAAGAATGCTACAACATTCTTTAAATTTTATGTTTGTTGTTTGATATTATTATTTTTATGTTTTTCATTTTTATTATTTTTGTTTTTGCCTAAGTTCAAAAGTATTTGGTAATTTTTTTTAATTAACTAACTAACGTATATATGCTTGTATATATGTAAAACTAAATTTATTGCAAATAATGTTTGAAAAACTTGATAATAAGAAATTTTTGAAAATATTTTTAGTAACTGGGAGATAGATACCTACATAGTTTAGTTAATTATTTGTTTCTTTGTATGTTAATGTTGTTAGGACCAAGTATGAAATCAAATAATATTACATAGTTAGATAAATTGGTGTGAGATATTTTAAACGTGTCAAAAAAATTTGTTCAAGAAATTAGTTTAACACAACTAAGTATGTAATGGTTTGACCAATTTAATTATTCAGATAATGTGGAAAATGCAAAATATTATTCTTTGAATAAATTAAACTCTTTTATTTTTTTTCTTGTATATTTGTAGCCCCCTGTATAGATTAATGAGGTTTGGATCCTAACCCCCTTTGTGTAATAAAAGCCGACAATTTTGCTGTTCTCCAACAAATAGCAGACAGAAACATAATTATTCAAAATAAATTTAAATTAAACTTAAATTTTTCTTATTACCAATTTATATTATCCACATATTCTCTATGGATAGATGCCACAATTATAGACTTAATACATATATTGAATAAATTTATTGCTAATTTTATTCTGAATTCTAGACGGAAGAGCTATTTTTAATATATGTGTATATGTATGTAAGTTTTTTGTAAATATAGTCATATAGTACTTACTCCTTTAAGTTGAGATTTTCATCAAATATTATAAATTCTTCAATCAAAATATTCTGAATACGGTTCACTTTTTATGCCTGCCTCTTCTGTAGTTTTTTATTTTTGCAAAGGACATCTAGCAGAACTATTTACATATTTTACGTCAGCTTTATTTTTTAGAATTTTGGTACAATCAGAAGAAAATAAAATTGATTCCAGTATTCTTTCTAGAAATGTCAAAGTAAAATCAAATCCAAATCGACTCGACAAATTTTTGAAGAATGATTGAAAATTTTTCATTATACGCTCAGTCTGAAAAAATTTTTTGAAATTTTGAGAAAATTTTTATAAAAAAAGTATTATGAAATTTGTGTTGCTTTGTTTATTTTTTTTTTTTAAATATTGCCATTTGTCCTTTTGTTGTTTGCTAAAATGCAAAATAAAATTTGATATTCATTCAATTTAGAAAATAATTTTTGCTTAGCAAAATGTTTAGAGAAAAAAGTAGAATATAAACTTGACGTCAAAAAATTCACATTTTGGAAGACGCCAGGGAGAAAAATAAAAAAAGCTTAATTTGAACTCGAAATCTATTACGTTAATTATAAATCAGAAAAGGTAATGCACTCATTTAAAGGACAAAAAATTAAATTCAATTTATTCACAAATTACTAAATAATTACATACATACATATATGTATGTATTTATTTAAATGAGAATAAGTGCTGAAATTTTCTTTGATTTACAATTATAAGAAAAAAAATAACAATTTGTAAAAGTTTCAATTGAAAAATCGAAAATAAGTTCATTTACTTATGCATCTGAAGAACTATAAAAAGAAGAAAAATCAGGTTAAAATGTTATTATGTTAAGAGGATTAAATATGAAATTATATTTACGTTTTCTATACACATTTTAATTACATACATATATCTTGTATATAGCAGTACAATAACGATTTAAAGGGTAAATTTTTACAATATTCTAACTAAAATATAGAAAATTTCTTATATTTCTAAAATTACATTGAATTTTGTAAAAGTCTTCTCTTATACGCACTTTTAATTAAGTACAATACCGGTGTTCTCAATTCTATTTGTAAATTTCTGTACATACGATACGTTTATTAAGATTACCGTTTTTACTGTAAAAAACGGTAATCTTAATAAACGGTAATCTGTAAGTACATGCACTCAAGACTGGTAAATTTCAGGCAGAAGTTTCTTGGGCCTCACTTTTTTTTGGCGGTTTCTGTGAAATTAGGACTGGTTCTAATAGCAAAAATTCAATTGAAAAAGGGAGATCCAGCGGTATTTTTAATTAATTTTCTATTACGAGTAATAAAATGTAAACGAGCAATTCTTTTAATTTTTTCTATTATTCTAGAGGTATGCAATTATTAAATTTTGGTACATTAATGGTCATAATTTTAACAAAACTTTCTTTTGAAAAATGTTTTCACTTGTTCAAAATAAATTGTACCGCTTTGAAATTCATTTATTTAATAAAATTTTGTCTTATTTATTTAAAACCATTAAAAAATATTTATGTAAGGATTTTTACATTTATTTTTATTAACTTAATTTTGGGGTTGTGTTCCAAACTTCAGTTTGTATATTATTTTTAATTAAATGTTGTTTCCAATAAAAAAATTGTAATTCTCAGTCAAATTTGTCAGTTTACAATAATTGTTATACTTGACCAGTTTGCTTAAGAATCTCATTCTAATAAAAATATTTAAGTTCCAATTCAATTATAATGGTAATATGAAATTTATTTTCATAAAATCTTTGAAAATATTAAATAGCTTTACTTCTACATAAAATAAAATGAAAAGCAAAACTTACTTTCTAGTATAAAATGTTTTATACAAACGATTTTCATAAAAATTTAAGTGCATAAATAAAACAATAATTATTTTTATAATTGGAGCTTGAAAATTTTATTTTTAAAATGAAATTAAATAAAAAATGTTTTACTAATAAATAATAGTATGTACTTAATTGAACATAAGTGTATTTTTAAAATAAAAACAAAAATCTATTGTTTTCTACTTAATGAAATTAGATATACTAAATATTTAATAATAAAGTGTAATTTTCTCAGTGAAATTTTAATATTGAATGTTTAATAAGAGTTTACCAACCCTCTAAAATATGCAATTTTTAATTGAAAAGAAAATTCGTTGTGTTTTGCTGCTCAATAATTAATTCAAAATGTTCGATTGCGAAAAATAAAAACTAGCATAAAAATTTTACAATTCGTAATATACAAGAGCTTGTATGAAAACTTATTTTTGTAAGAAAACGACGGAAGGATAATTTTTAATGCTCATAGCTCGTTATGCTTTTAAGAAAACCCTTATATTATTGAATCCATTTTAATTAATTGAATCTCACCACTGATTGCTCACACATGCGTTATATTTATATTAAAATATGAATCATCATTTTATTTATTGTTCTGCTTTTCTTCAACATTTTTTTTTTTATTTTATACAAAGCAATTAAATACTTACTTAAAGCAAATTGAAACTGATTATTAAATTTAATATTGTAGATTCAACGATAATAGGTGAAATGATAACATTCATTGATAGTGTGAAGTGAGAAAGCACTTAAAATTAAAATACAAGTCATAACATAAAAAATTAAGCAAAAAAAATAGTTGTTTTAAAATAAAAAAATATTAAAGTTATAAAATTAATTTGAATTAAATTAATTTTCAATTAATTGTTAAATAAATTGATTTTAAAAAAATTTTTTTTAACTATTTTAAAAATAAAGGAATTTAAATTTCCGTCGATTAAGTAGCAGCACAACTCTTTGAATGATTTTGCTGTTAAACATCTAATTTTAAATAATTATTTTGTTCCTTGAGCACATTATTGATATTTTTATTCAATTAGTTTTTTTTTTAAATATTAATTTTATTGCAGAATAAAATTTACTATTGAATACTCATAATATCGAATACTCAAAATTTACTATTGAATACTCATAATATCAAAAAATAAAATTTACTATCGAAAATTACTCAAAATTTTAGAAAATCTAACTTTTGCCAACAAATCAAATTGTAATGCTTTAAGAGAGCAAAAATTGTCAAAATTCTTTTATTAGCCGTTGAGCTGACATAATGTTTTAAAACGTTAATTCTGTACGCGTTGTCACATTAAAATAATTATTTGTGTTTGGTTACGTTCATATTATTCACAAAATGAGTTCTGAATTTACCATTGAATTACCATTCAATAAAGTTCTAATTGGTGACATTTCACTTGTTTCAAATTCGTTAGTTTTTTTTTGTCCATTACAGTATGTTCGTATCTCTATTAATAATCAACAATAAATGATATTAAGTAATTCTATTAATAATTTAATATAAAAGGTTTGCTAAAACAACGCGTTACATTTGACTTTTAAGCTAATCAAAAAAAAAAAATTAATTAAATCAATAACAACAGTCTTATCTTATTTTAACACAAATTTATATATTGTTAATTTAGTCTTATCAAAATTTTATTTTATAATATCTTAACGATTTAAAATTTTTAATAAAAGTAAATTATTTAAAAAAAAATTTAATTCTCATATTTAATGAGTTCACAATTTTTTGTTTCCAAATAATTGCAATTTTCAACTTTAAATTTTATTTAAAATAAAATTATTTGTTATTTTAATTAAAAAAATAATTAAATTTGTTTTTTATTTTTTAGGTTTATCTTGATTTTACTTGCAATTTTTGTTGTATTGCGTATCTAAAGGATTTGCAATTTTTTAATATTTACAAGGGAAAAAATTTAAAATAAAATTAAAATAAAATGCAAACAATAAAATGTGTTGTTGTTGGAGATGGAGCTGTTGGTAAAACATGCCTTTTAATATCATATACAACAAATAAATTTCCATCAGAATATGTTCCAACCGTTTTTGATAATTATGCAGTAACAGTAATGATTGGTGGTGAACCATATACATTAGGATTATTTGATACAGCTGGTAAAATATTATAATTTTTGTAAATTATAGTATTACTTGTAATCTTGAATATTTATTAAATGTTAAAAAACTGAAAAATTAATCTAAATTTTAATTTTCTGATTTTAGGTCAAGAGGATTATGATCGTTTAAGGCCGTTATCATATCCACAAACAGATGTATTTTTGGTATGCTTTTCTGTTGTTAGTCCCAGTTCCTTTGAAAACGTTAAAGAAAAGGTAAATATTTTAAATTTGATTTAAAGAGAAAAAATTAATAACTCAAATTTCAAAAAGGAAAATATTTTCAAGTAGTTTAATAGAAAATTCAAGTTCAAATTCAATCAAATCAATTAAACATACTAAAAATAAAAATAAAATGTTAAAGTAAAACTGCATTTTAATGCGAAATATTTATTAAAATTATTTGTATTTTAAATTCACACTCCAGATTTTTTTGATTCTATAGGAATGTTTTCAAATTGCATATATATATTAGATTCTAGGAATATAGTTCTCTCTATAAATAATTCTGCCATTATTAATTATATTTCGTAATCCATTTTCGAAAACGTCCTTTAAATATTTTTTTTCTTCATATTACTTCAATTTTAAATTTGAGTACATTTTATCAACATTTAAAAGAAGTATTTATTAAGGAAATTTTCCCTATATTAAATGTTTTTTCCTTTTTGTAATTCTTAATAATAGTGGGTACCAGAAATAGCACATCATTGTCAGAAAACACCATTTCTGTTAGTTGGTACACAAATTGATTTACGTGATGAAACCAGTACGTTGGAAAAATTGGCTAAAAATAAACAAAAACCGATCAGTATGGAAGCAGGTGAAAAATTAGCTAAAGAATTAAAAGCTGTTAAATATGTTGAATGCTCGGCCTTAACACAGGTACCAACCAATTTTTTTTTTATTTATAATTAAATATTTTTTTTTAATTTCCTTTAATTTCAATTGTTCTTTATTAAAAATCTTTCATTTTTTTTGTATTTTGTAGAAAGGACTTAAAAATGTTTTTGATGAAGCAATATTGGCTGCCTTAGAGCCACCAGAACCATCAAAGAAAAGACCTAGGTGTAAACTTCTTTAAACTTGTTGTTATATAAAAAAAAAAACATGATACACGTAATTTACATTTAATAATTGCAAAAAAATAAAAATAAAAACAAAAAAAAAATTAAATTAAAAAATGTTGTCATTAAAAATAAAAAATCTTCCTAAAAAGTAAGAAAAAGAAAACACAACACACCAATACACGCAATTAAAACATGTAAAATTCATAACACATTCACAGTTTGTTAAATAAAAAAGAAAAATCGTAAAACAATCTTGTAATATAAATAAAAAAAAAAAATAATTAAAATACCGGTGAAATAGAATAATAAATGTAATGAATTTTTTTTTTAAATTTAAAAATAAAAGCATTTGTACTACAATTTAGTAAAAAAAACTTACAGTACAAGATTTAATTATAACAATAAAAATTAAAAATATTTGAAATAAATTTAAAGGGAATATTTTTTCATTTATAGCATATTTTAATAACGATGTAACATTAAATTACTATAGAAATACTGTAATTATTTATTAATATTTTTAATAGTGATATTTTTGTCCTATACAAACAAATGTTTAAATTGAATTAAAACTAAATTAAAATATCTGCTCTGGATTATTATGTATATATTGGGATGGAGCATTTTATTACCGTAATAACATAAACTTTAAGAAATTTAATAAAATTTGAGAAATAATCGGTAAATATTTTAAATTAGATATAATGTAAATTTTTTTATTACTTATATTATGTATTTATTACGTTAAGTAATAATAGTAAATTATATTATGTAGTTATTTAATTTTCACCCATATTATTTTACACAATAAATATATGTCTTAAAAAAAAATTAAATAAAAAATTTTGTAATTTTCAAGGTTGAAATTATTTGGAAGTCTAAAAGGTATTAAAAACCTTAACACATTTCAATAATACATCTCAGCTGATACGCCTAATAGAATATGATTTTTTTAAAAGATAACAGAAATGTTAAAAATGGTATGAAAAAAGCTGGGATTTAATTCAATCATGTTGAAAATTTGTTAAATTATTCAATATTAACAAAATAAAATTAAATTTAAAAATGAGAAAGAGAAGATTAGGATGGAATTATTGTTTGCATTCTACCAATAAAAAATTATTATATTGGGATAATTAGAAATTTTATTATTTTTGTTAATGTTTTAAAACAATTTTATGTTTCTGATTAAAGTTTTATTAATTTTTAACTGATTTGTAAGTGAAACGAAACTAACTACATATATACATGTAGATTTTGAGGAATTTACCTATAAACTAAAAAAATTCATTTTTTAGAAAACAAATTGCAAAGCACTTCACTTACAAATTTAAGTTAAAACACAATGCTTTCAAAAGTGGTTTCAAGATGTTATACTTAAAAGCATTTTGTTTGTGGTCCGTTTTTCTAAGTTGACCAACATTATAATTCGGCTTTCATCGTTAAACATTTAATAAAAATTCCTTTTACAATAATTTATTTCAAATTTTTGTTTTTAATTTTTATTCCATTTTTTTTAATGTACTGTAAGTTTTAAAACATAGCATTAATAAAAAACAAAATTGTAATAATCACTATTGTAAGTAAAAAAAAAATAAAAGATAAAACAAAAACCTCAAAAAAAATAATATTAAAAAATAATTATTATTATTAAAATAAAAAAAGAACATTAAAACAACAAAAATATAAAATATAATTTCGTATTGATGCTATTTTGCACATAAAAATTTTACAAAATCTAAAATAAATTTATATATTTATATTATATACTTACAATGTATGCATTATAATTTATAATGTTATTAAAAGGACAGATTAATATTAAAGAAAAAAATATATTGGTTTTTAATATAAGAAATATTATTTTAAACAAAAAAAGAAAACAATAAAATTGTAATTAAATTATTATTTTCTTTAAAATTAAAATTAATAATGTAATAAAACAAAACAAAAAGGAATGAAAAATTTCTTTCTTTTTTTTTAATAAAATGCATTTTTATTCAATCCTAAAATTTAAAAAAAAAAAAAACAAACATAAATTCTAGAAATTATTTAATTATAAAAATAAAATATTTAAAATTAAAATAAAATATAAAATGAGAAAACAAAACAGCAATATTAAATTTTATATACCCTTTAAAAATAAAATAATTTAATTAATAAATATGAATATTAAATAATTAAAAGAAAAAAATTAATAAATATTGAATTAATATATCTTTATTTCGAAACGATTTCACTGCAAGAACTCATATTTATATAACCAGCAGAAAAAATTTTAAAATTCGCTTTTGCATTAAAAATCAACTAAATCGAATAACTAGTGTTCAATTAAAAATACCAATGATACTAGTTAAATAAATTTGTTTATCAATATTAATAAATTGTTTAATTTCATTTTTAAACGATACTATATCGAAATTTGAAATTTTTTAAATTGAAAATCTCTTCAATAATAGATAGAATAACATTCTATTCAAAACCTTGAGTGCACAGTGCATCTAACAGAATATGTGTGTGAATGACTAATGAAATGACAAGTAAGAAAAGATTTTGTGATTTTTTATTATTCATATTTTCAAAATAAATTCAATAAAATGCTATTAAATCTATTACTATTTAAGAAAATTCGATGAAAAACAAAATTTGTCTAAAAATATCAAATATTCTGTCATATATTCCAATTGAACAATAAGTAATCTATATTGGTAATACAATATTTAATAATTTTATTATAAAAAAATTTTAACTACGATGATTTATTTTATTTAAAATATCTTTATTAATAATTATTTTTATAAAATTTAGTACCATTTAAGTGCTCGAGAAATTCTTATTTCAATTCTAAATTAAAATATTGTTAAAAGAAAAATAAAATATGAATTACAGAAAACAAACGACCAATAAAATTTTTATAAATTTTCTTATCGCGCACAATTCACAACATTAAATTATACAATAACAAAATATACATCCATATTGTCGTCATAAAAACATTATAAAATATGACATTTTTTAAGAGCAAAGTGCAACAAGTGCATGCACTTATCAGAATATAGATTATGAATAAAACAAAATCAAAAAACATATTGATGATATCGAAGTGAAAAAAATTTTAAATAATTTGATATATTTTTCAATTTTAATTGAAAAAAAAACCCTATATAAAATAAAATTTATGCCTTTGTGTAACACAAAACCTGGTGACGAACACTGGAAATCATCACCGAAGCTATAAACTGTTCTGTCATAGTTTGTGTTACATTTTTTTTTTGTTTTTCGAATAATGAAAAATGTATGTATAATGTATTCAAGAAAATTTTATGTCTTTTGTACATAACAAGAAAAACAAATAATTAAAAAAATATTAAAAATAAACTATACTAGAAAGGCATTTTTATTCAAAAATAATATTCATTATAAAATTAAATAAGAAAAAAAAAATTTAATTGTAAAATTTAATCAATAAAAAACCCGATTTTTTTTTTTATATTATGTAATTATTGTTTTATATTTTGAAAATATTTAAATAGAAAATATTAAATATAAAATTTCATATTCAGTTGAAAACAAAAGAAAAAAATACTAAAATAAAAATTTAATTTTAATATTTAATCATAATTTTATTTGTAAAATTAATAAAAAAATTGACTTTTAAGATTTTATAATTAAAAAAAAAATTCTTTTTTGGAGTTATTTTTTAAGAAAATTTCATGAAATATATATTATGATATAAATTAAATTTTATTTTTTTTTTTTAATTTTAGTTATAAAGAACTATTAAGTGTTTTTCAAATGATTAATACTTGCAGTATTTGCCAATTTATAATAAATTTTTGATACTCACCATTTCAAATCTTCTAATTCTATTGTGTTCCTATGAAGAAGAGATTTTCCATTTTGAAATAAGCTATGATGACATAAACAGGGTTAACAAATTAAATAATACCAATGTAAGTTACTAATATTAGAATCAATATTCTACAATCAAATCTTTTAATTAAATCTTCCTCAATTTTTTGTTACTTATTTATTATTGAACTTATTAATTAATTTGTTTCTGTCTTTACCGAAATTTTGTTTAATTAATAGAAAATAACTATTTAATTAATAGAAAATAATAGTTTAATTAATAGAAAATCGTACTAGGGTAAACAAATATTTTTTCTATTTCCTTTATAGTTACGATTTTATATTAAATAATAAAAACATTGGGGATTTTCGATAATTAAGTTCTAACTTAGATCCTAATATAAAATGTGTTTGATAAACTAAAATTAGTTTGTCTTGTAAATCTGTATACGTTCCGATAATTGTTGCAGTGCTTAAATCTCTAAAGCATTTATGAAAATTATTTTTTTTTTTGAAATACTGCACAACCTTTTTTGCAATGCGATTTAAGTTAGAACTTAAAAGTGCATGTCTCAATAATATTATCATAAATATCTTCCATTTGAACAGACAAAAAAGTATATAAAAGATATCGAAATTATAATATTAAATTTTATTGTCTATTATTGTAAAAGAATTGGTAAAAACAAAAATTGAAAATGGGCGGAAAATTAATTTACAAAATAGAAAAAAATACAAACTGCAGATTAAACAGTCAATAATTAAATTTGAAAAATATTCGATATTAAAATAACAAAATAAAAAAATTAATTAATTATATTGAAAAAAAAAATGGACAATTTAAGGCAAAAACATCAATTTTTAAAAAATTTATTATTATACAAAATAAATAAAAAAAATCGTTAAATAAAATTTTTAATTATAAGTTTATTAACTATTATTATTATTATTATTATAATTATATATATTATTAAATAAAAAATAGAAATTAAATAAATATTTAATTAAAAAAAATATTTTATAATAAAAGAACATTTGTGAATTATATAATTTTCTATTTTAATTTTGGATAATCTAAAATTTAAGAGTTTTTTTTTTTTCATAAAAATTAAAAATTCATTTTAGAATATTTTTTTTTTATTAAAACTCTTTTCCGATTATAATTTTATAAAAATGAAAAAATTAAGAAAAAAAAAATTAGAAAATTTTTTATTTAATTACGATAAATTTCCAATTATTTACATATTTTACTAAGCTTTTACACAGCAACAACTGACAAGAAAGTTTCATCCAAACTACGAATTTAAAATATTTTGTAATTAAAAGAAAAAATTTACCAAATTTATAAATAATTAGAATTGTATTTTCTTCAGAATTATTTTCAAATAATTTGAAAATTTAAAAAATATGGAATAGAAGGTTTTTCCCACAAACTTTTGATATGCAAAAATTTAAGTAAACACTGAAATATTTTAACTTGCAAGTTTATAGCTTGCTCAAAAATAACAAGAAAATCTCGATAACTTGAGCAAGTAGCTAATATTATTGATTTATTAAATAAAAACAAAATAATTTTTAAATTTTTTAAATTAAAATTTTAATGTTTTGTCAAAAATTTGCAACAATAACATGTTAGTCGTATTACTTATACGGTCGGTGTTCGAAATTTGTAATTTTCAATTTTTTTTAAATAGTATACCATCACCTCATGTAATCCCACTAACAGAATATGGTTGTTATTTTTTTTTTATTTTCAAAAATAATTTCAAAAAAAGTGAATTTCCTAAAACGCCTAAATGATTGTTGATAATATAAATTAAAAATTATCTTGCCGGTAACTTGCTTATGTAAACACTCTGTTAGATTTATTTGCTTTAATATCTTTTCTTGTATGTAAATTAATCAGAAGAACTGAGACTAACATGAGTTTTCTATTTAAATTTAGAAAAAATATTTGATTTTATAATCAAGCATTTTGTAATTAAAATAAAAATCGAAAATATTAAAGAAAATAATAATTTTTTTTTTATTTTATACAAATATTTCCTTGAAACGTTGAGTTTTGTGTAAATAATTTAATAAAGTTTCGGAACTATTTTAAAAATTCTGTTGTCTGTAAATTAAAAAACATTTTTTAATTACACATTCATAAAAATACATAAAAGCGAAAGTATAGTAAAAAAATAATTCTTTAAAATCTGAAAATTATTTATTAAAAATTTTTTGGTTAAAAATTCAAGTTAAATTTTTTGATATCAAATTTAAAGTTTTCAAAAAAAAAAAATCTTTATCAGTTTATTTTACTTTTACCAACTATTTTATATAAAATATTTTTTATTTAAATTAAGTTTTCTTTTAATAAAATAAAAAAATTACTTCAAAATTTGATTTCTGCTCTTGTATTTGAATTAATAAAAGTTTTATTAAACCAAATTATGAATTTAATGGTGCCATTTCTCAAAAAAGAATCTTTTTACTCATACCACATTAAAATTTTCTTGTAACTTTGTTGAAAAACAAAAAAATATTTTTTCAAAAATTAATTAATTAATTCTCAATTTCGTCCAAACTAAAAAGAAAAAAAATATATAAATAAAAAATTAATTTGTATTAAAATTAAAAATTTCAAAAGTAATTAAAAAATATTTAATTTTATTAATTTTTGCTTAAATTAAAAAAAAAAAGAAATATTGAATTATATAGTTCGCAATTAAAATTATTATTTTTTTTTTTGTAATTTTTATTTTCTAGACTTAAGATTTAAAATTAAAAGCAAATAAAAATTAAATTTATACAAAATGTATTATAAAATACCGAATAAACATAAACATAAATGTATAGATATATTAATAATTAAAAAATAAATTTTATATGGGTACATATAACACATAACAATATAACAATAATCAAAAAATAAAAAAAAAAAATTAATTAATAAATTAAAAGAAAAATTATTCGGAAAAATTAAAACTAAAATTACATCATAACAACAACAACAAGCCAATATACATAAAAATATAAAAAAAAATATTTTTAATTACTTTCTAATAAAATATTTAAAAAAAAAAATTATAGTTTGTTTTCTTTTTTAACCCTGTCAGGTCCAAATTCATTTTAATTGTAAAACAGATAAAAATTTTTAGGAAGTTTTCATTTAATAATTATGTTTCAATTTTGAAGTATTTTACCTATAAAAAAAATTAATTTATATGATATAGTTCGACAACTGCTATCCACTAAAGGTCTTTTCCTTGTACATAATATATTGAATGCGCGCAACTGTAGTTATCAATGAATTCGAACTCGACAAATTTCAATGTAGGCCATCGCAAATGATTATTATTTTATTTATTTTTTTTGCATTTCTTCAAAGGTTAACGTATAAACGATTTTTGTATGTGACAAAATGAATGATGAAGAAAACATTTTAATTTTAAAATTTTCAATATTCCGCTTTACTGAAATAATTTTTAAAATGTCAATTGTGAAAATTCCTAAATTGCAAATGATTGTCATTTGCAAAGGCAAGCGAATGAAGTGATTGTCATGATCGTCAAATCTTTGACATACTAGGAAAAGGCCAAAAGAAATAAAAAACAAGTAAAAACGTTTCAGTCGGTATAAACCGATTGAATTATACCCTGCACCTTTCGTTGTTGTATAGCAATTACTCAAACCTGTGAACCTATTCTATAGGGAAACTTCACGGATATGTCTGTTACAACTGCCAAATTTCATGAATCTGACTTTTTTATTTTCCTCAAATATTTAAAATTAGCTTTTGGAGTTGTATGGCAGGTGCCCGAACCTGTCAAGCAATTCCACTAAAACTTCAGAAATATGTATATCTGACCTATAATTGGACACATGACTGCCAAGTTTTATTAGTCTGACTTTATTATTTTTCCGAATATAAAAAATTTGCTTTTGGAGTTGTATGGCAGCCACCCGAACCGGTGCATCTATCCCATTAAAATTTTTTGGTACATGTATAGAATATAATTGGACACATGTATACAAAATTTTATAGTAAAATTTTTTCTGGTATAAAATTCGGTGGAATATCGAATCCCTCATAACTCATAGAGCTACGAATGTTATTCAACTGAATAAAGTTATAACGCGATCATGGCAGTGAAGTGATTCTCGAGAGATTTCATTAAACTACTTTCTTATATGAAAAAAATATGTATGATTGTTATTAGGAAGTTAGTGCTTTTATCAAGTTTTTCCCAAGTGGTTATTGAATATCCAATCTCTTGACAAGTCTTGTCAAATATAAACAAGTCCATAAAGCCTTTTCCAGTCTTTTGTGACCTCACTTTTTTAATAATTTGCCAACTAACCATTTTATATTCAAGTTTTTTAGGTATGTCGCAAAAGTGATAGCTCTACCACAAAATCACAAATGTAGGTATGTATGTATGTCCAGAGCAAAAATGTTTTAACCCAAAAAAAAATAGATTTTGGGGAAATTGCGAAAACCCATTTTCAATTGATATAAAAAAAAAGTATAAAATATCAATTCACGTAATCAATTGATAAGAACCCAAAACTATTAAATATCTATAGATGATAGATAAATATGTACATCATATGTATTTATATAAATTAAATAATGAACTTGATTCAAGGGAAATCCCATTTTTTGAATTAAAATATTTTTATTGTACAAGTGCTCAGAAAAATTTCTAGCTACTGAAAGAGTTTTTTTAATTTTTGCTTTGGTTTTGTCTTTGGCGACCCAAAACATATGTGAATACCAAATTTATGTTTGCAAATTAAATAAAATATATTATTATTTATTAACATATGTATTTATGTTCTCCATCTCCATTAGAGACTTATTATAAGTCTATGACTAATGAATCAATTGTACATAACCAAATCTATGACTTCATTGATAAGAAATATAAATCAATGTTAATCAAAAAAAAATATAAAAATTCATATTAAATTATTATCTAAGAAAAATGATAACAAACTAAATTGATAAATTTTTGATAAATTTTGGATTTATTTAAAAGTTTTTTAATAAAAATTTAAATTAAAATTTAATTGGTTTTTCTTTTTTAATTTATTAAGAAAATAAATATGAAAGAAATAAAATGTGTTGTTATTGGAGATGAAAATTCTGGGAAAACATGTTTAATTACACGATTTCTAGAACAAGATTTAAAAGAAGAATTATCTCATATGTGGTTAAATGAGAAAGATAAATACATAACAATATTAGATGAAACATTTTTATTAAAAATCTTCGATACACCAGGTAATAATATGGTATTCAAAAAAAATAATAAAAAAATAACATTTTTGTAATAAAAGAAGAATATTAAATGAGAATTTTATGAGTGGATAAATTAAATTTGGTGTACGATTTCTTATATTGAAAGTTTTTTTTTCCATAAGTATGCTTAAGTATTTCACAATTCATACAAAAATTAGTTTTTACAGTTTAGTCAAATCTAAAAATTTTAATAATAATCTTAAATTTTAGGTAAAAGAGATTACGAACGTATACGGAATCTTATTTACACAGATGTTCATGTTTTTATTATTTGTTTTTCAGTAATATCTATTGAATCTTTTGATTCTGTTACGAAAGTGGTATGTTATTTCTTTAAAAGAAAATAAAATAGAAATCTAAAACTTTATTAATTAAATATTTAGTGGATTCCTGAAATAAAAAATTTGGAAAAATCTTTGGATATTGAACGTAAAATTCCATATATTTTAGTAGGTTTACAAATTGATTTAAGAAATGATGAAAAAATATTACCTAGTTTAAATGGAGAGCGACCAATACAAAATCTAGAAGGTAAAAAATTATTTTCTTTTTTACAATCATTTTGATAAGACAATTTAATAAGTTCTTCACTTCAAATAATTAAAGATTTTATTTTATGATTTATTTTAGGACAAGATTTAGCAGCTCACATTAATGCATATGACTATCTTGAATGTTCTTCCACTAAAAATGTATATATACATCAATTAAATATAAATTCAATTAATATTTTGATATGAATTTCTCAATTTTAAATATAAATTTATAAATATTTTTCTTTTAGGAAGGAATTGATGACGTATTTGAAAAAGCTATAGATGCTTACAATAATTCTATTTGCAAAAAAAAAGATGAAAGCATAAGAATTAAAAAGAAAAGAAAATTGAAATTAAAATGTAATCTTATGTAGTATTTTAATTTCATAGATTTTTTTTTCGAATATTTTAATAATACCTAAAAATATCAATGAAATCGAAATCTTAAAAATGGAGTTATTTGTTACAAAACAAAAATTAGTTATTAGGAATAAAGTTATTTGTATTTTTAAAATATCATATTGGAAAATTAAGTTTTTTTTTTAACACTTTTATTTAATATCTTTAAATTACTACATCAACATCATATAAATTTAATATTATTTTGTAAGTTATACTTTTAATATTAATTATTATTTTTTTTCTTTATTATTTTGTATACATAGCAGTAACACATACACAATATGAAGTATTAAAATTTTTAAAATTTCTAGTTCACATTTTATTTTGCAATTTAATATTTTTTAATTCTGAGATTTACATACCGATTTATATAAGTACATACATAATATGTATATTATTAGTATGGAAAACAAAAACTTAGATATTTTCTTTCTTTAAGAATTTTGAGGAAACTTTTTGATTAATTACAAACAATAATTACAAATATATTACTTATAGGAATGATTCATTTAATTTTTACATGTTATTTCAAATGTAAAAAGTTTTTTTTTTTGTTTTCTAGCTTATATTTTTGTTTGAATAAAATTCTACAGATTTTAATAATTAGAAATGATAATCTAAAAGGTAAATATGATTTTTATGAAATCCAAACATTATTATAATAAAAAAAAGCTATTATAAATATTGTCACAAAACAAATGTTAAAGTTAGATCTTAATGAAAAAAAGTTATTCACAGATATAATTTAATTTTTAAACGTTAATTAAATTAATTTTGCACATATTATTTCTTAGCTGACAACAAAATTAACAAAAACATCTTTATAAGCAAATTTTGTTATATACAAATTTATGTTAGAGAAAAAACAAATACTAAAAAAAAATAATTAATACTTTATTTTTTCTAATATATTCGATATTTTTTTTTTATGTGTATACTTTTATATACATATATCTATTATTTATTATTATGATATAATATGTATGTATGCATAAAATGTGAATGATTTCAATTACCGTTCATAATAAACACGATAATAAAGTGTTTTACTTCTCCAAATGCTATATGAATTGTCAAATTTTAATAAATATATTCCTTCTCCAGGATATTGATGCGATCCAACATAAATTTCATTTTGACATTCACGTCGATAAACTGGTACTATAATAGATATAGGTGGTCGATTTGGTGATATTGATGCACGAGTTTGTACTGGACCACATTCCAAATCACCGCCACCGAATTCGTCTGAAAAAAATTATTTGAATATATGTTATGACATTATAATCAAAAAAAAACATTGAAAAAATATTTACCATCATCATCTTCATAAAATTCATCTTCGTCATCACTTTCGCTGATATGAACCGTAACTTCATTTGATACGGGTTTAGTCCATTCAAAATAAACACCAAAACCAATATCATAACTATCAGTAGCAAATTCCCAAAATATGCAAGTTCCCCCTTCATGTGTTGGAACACGAACCTGAAATAATGCAGATTTTTAAAGTAAAATTTTAAAGTTTATCTTAAATGTCAAATTATAAATCATAATAAATCTGTACCGTCACTGTATCTCCATGCCCTACGTGTATTACTCCTTCTCCAGATCCAGCGGCAACATCTTGTTTGAAATTTTTAATGTCTGGTCTAGTCCACATTCTAGCTGGACTTATTATTAAGTATTCACCAGAATCATCAGCACAATCATCTTCTTTACCGTCAGCTTCATCTTTTAAAATACTTGAATCTTTTTCAGCAATATCTACACAATTATCCATATCAATAGGACTTTCGGATTGGTTATCGCTATTCGATGCATTTGTAAATTTTATTTGTGCATGTAACTGTTGCATATATTGGTGATAATGTTCATTTTGTAATTGCCTTATTAATATACCTTGTTGTTCAGGATTACCGGGATATTGTTTTTCGGCATAAGTCTTAAAGTTAAAAGAATGTTTGTATACAAAACTCGTCATTATTGAATATGTTATTACCTTGAATTGATTAAAAGTTTGTTGATTTAAAGCATCTTGTAACTGTCGCTTCTGCATTTCTTCCTTATAACATTGTTCTTCAAATTCTTTTTTCTCTTCTTGCAATTTCTTCTCTTGTTCTAAAAGTTCTTGAGCCTTTTGTTTTTCTTCCAGTTCTTTTCTCAATTTTTCTTCTTTATCTTTTTTTATCGCTTCAATGTAAGGTCTTAAAGTTGGACAAAGTCTATCTAACATATCAATAAAACTCTCTTGTGCCTCTGTTTTAGAAACTAAACCTAAACTTTGCCAAGCTAATCGCCGATCTCTTCCAATAACATCTAAAACTCCCAATTGGGGGGCGGTATTAGGATCAAATTGTCCATGAGCAGCTTGTTGAGTAAAAGCTATTAATTTTAAATTATCTTCATAAGACAGATGTATAGCTTTCCCAGATTTTTCTATAAGAAAAACTCTTATTAAACTTAGTTAAACGCTTGAATGCTCTAGATTTACCTTTATAAAAAGCTAAAGCCAACTTATATAATTCTTTTAACGGTAGGTCCCATTTCACTTTTTGATTATCTTCTTCTTCTAAAGCTATCTGATTTAATTTACTCTCTAAATCCAACATAGTAGCCATTAATATTTAATTCTCTTTTTACGTTTTTACAAACAAATACAAAAAATTTGAACGATTTGAAATTTAACTTGAAGATTTTAAAAATATCTATCAAGTCGAATGACTTTTAAATTAAATTATATTTATAGCAACTTTGATTTTTTATTCTAGAATACTTTTTCAATTGGAATAATATAATAAAAAAAAACAATGTAGAACTTAACTACCTACAAATTTTCCCACATCAACACAAACTTTGTTACAACCATACAAGATATAAGTGACATGACATGACAGTATAATGAATTGTCAGAACATTAAAAAAAAATGCGTCAAACTTAGAAGATTCATATGAGAGAATCGTTTAAAAACTCAAGAATTTAATTTGAAGTAATACTATAGAGGCGACACCTTAAAGTGCTATTTTCATGCAAAATGTACAAAATAGATATATGAGTATAATTGTAGAATTATTGTCAAATTATGATAATGAAAGAAAATGAACTTCTACAAATTAATTTTCTTTTGAAATTTGTGTTTTGTCTAATTAATTTGTATTATATTTAATCAATTTACTACACAACCTGTTATTTTATTACGATGACCATTTTAACATAACTAAATTAAAAAGCAGAAAAGAGAAAATTTCGCTTAAATTATCAATTAAAAATTTGACTACGGCAATTTGCTGAATTTGTAAATACATTAAATACTATATACATATGTATAGATACAACCGACAATATATTAGATGTGTCCAAACCTCTTCCTAATTACATGACAAATTTTATAATGTAAAACATATAAATTTTATTCGATTAAATTTCTTATTTTGAAATATAAAGCAATTAAATTTCTTATTTTGAATGAATTTTAAACCTAAAAATATTAAATTTGTAAAAATATTTTTTATTGACGTCATATTATCTGGTTTTCTTTGTTACCCTGCCGGCCTGCTTTACTTTCTAAATCTAAAGCAACGGAAATTCATTTTTATGTACAAAAACCATTTAAACCATATTCTCAAAACCAAAACCTTTTAATTCTCAAAACGTTCAAATTTTTGTATATTGTCAAAACAAAAAATAAATATCTACATATTATGTAGTTTATCAACTGCATTTATTTAGTGTCAAAAAAATTTTTACTTTGGCGCATTTACTTGAATTAAAATGACATTTTGTAAATATCTCATTTTTGACAATCACAAAAAAAAAATTTAGACAACACAACTACATACATAAAAAACTTCAGAAACACACAATAAACTGACAAACTCTTGTGATTAAAATTGGAAAAACATCAAAAATTGATACAGTAGAGAGCTTTTTTCTGATTTTCGGCGTTTTTCTTTTTTTTCGATTTTTGATTTTCAATTTGCATGAGAATTTCAGATACGTCACTTTAGACAAATCGGCGAGCGAGTTTCAAAGGTTCTTATTTTATTTGCAAATTGCAATCCGAAGTAAATAAAATTTTTATGATAGAAAATAAAAAAAAAAAAAAATAGAAATAAGTGATGGAAAATTTTAATATTTAAAAGAAAATTATTTTGTTTCTTTTTTTTTTAGAAAAATATTAAAATCAAATAAAGTTAAAGTGTACGACGGTGTGTGCATGATTTGCTCAAATTTCTATAATAAAAAATAATAAAAGTAAATTCTACTTGTATTGATTTTTTATTTTATTTTTTTTTAAAGTGTAGTGAGTCAATTAAATAACGCAAAAAAAAATAAAGAAAACCTATAAAAGAAAATTTTTAAATTTAAAATACAAATGTTTTTATTTTAAATGTGAAAAACTTATAAAATTATTATTTTATAAGAATTTTTATTTTTCTAAGTTATCTGTATAATATATGTATGTATGTAATAAAAACCGCATATATTCAATCGCATTATATCTACTAATAAAACTTGGTAGCTCACAGAGAGAAAAAAAAAATATATTTAAAAAGTAAAAGTAAATTTTAAAAGATTATTAATATTTGCAATATTGTTAAAAAAAAAGTGAATTTAGCAAAAATATACGAAAAATATAACAGTTTTTTTTTTTGGATTAAATGAAAAATAAGCAGCTTCTATTGATTCGTTTGGAAAAATTCTATCTACAATAAATAAATTGGGTAAGAGACCATTTTTATTTTTTTTCATGGTAACTTTTTTTTTCTATGTAGCTAGGTAACTTTTACAGATTTTAAGAACGCTGAATTATTTGTTCTATAATAGAAGAGTAACAACTCTTTGAGCTTTTGAGTTTTTTTTTTTTTTTCAAATTTTAAAATAACTATTTTTATCAAACATTTAAGACTAAGTTCCGGTATAAATTAGTCGAAAAAAAAAATTATTTTTTTTTTTCATTTGAAAGAGAAGTTATTAGCTGCCTAGGTACAATTTAAGTATGTACATAACAACAAAAAATTTAAGATGGAATGAAATTTATTACCTATATAAAGCTATCAGAACTTATTATGTTCTTAAAAAAGAATCATATTCGTACAAATACGTACATACATAGTGTTATGTATATAAACTTTAGTATTTACATATTTATATAAAATAATATAGCACATAGTTTTTCAATTTATTTTGCATATATGTATATTTATGGTAATTATGAACACTTCAATACTCAGAAACATAATATTTAGTATTATTGCTACTAATGTACATTTTTCTATTGTTTAAATATTATACATAATTATACATATACATACATTATTATTTATGTTTCTTAAAATATAAAATATTATTTTTCATTAACAATCATCTACTTTTATCTATGTTTATTGTATAAAAATATCTAAATATTACGTGGGGAAAATTATATACAAGAGTATGTTCATTTATAGCTCTATAACTAAGTATAATTATTATTTTTATACATTATAATTATCCACAATGTTTACGTTGTATAATAATAAAGAATAAAGAAGGAAAAATGAAATGATGACATGAAAAACATTTATTGGAAAAGTTTGCAAAAAGGAAAAAAAAAAAATATTGATTTTCATTGTAATTGCAACTCTCATTCAAAATGACGATTTAATAATAAAATTTTTTAGAAATGTTTTAGTGTGTAGGTACCTTCCTATTAAAAAAGTATAAAAGCGATGGTAGAACTATTATAACTTGTTTTTGATTCATTGATTCTTCTTTATTTTATTTTTCTGTTTACATTTCAAAAATGTTACTCATTTAGTATACTTTGAAATTTAATAAAGTTAAAGAAAGAGAATTTTGGATTTAAATCCATAGGATTGGGTATCATGAGACAAATAGGGTATTCTAAATATCTGAAATATTAAATTTATAGATTGTTTACTGATTTTAGCTAATTGTAAGGGACTAATGTACGCTTGAATTTCAACATCGTTAAGTATAGCTTTTCTATTCCAAACTTCGATATTTGTATATTCTACTAATAAAAGATCAAAAATTTAGTATTAAAAAATGAACTCAAAAAATTCAATACATCCTCAATAATTTTGCCTAGAGAAAATTAGAACATTTTCGAGGACACGTCTACTTTTTTACCTAAACATTTTTGACAGTGAGCTAATTGAAATTGTCTCGAGTTTAATTTTTACATGTTAAGTTCTGTCTTTAAAATACCTATGTTAATGGGTATTGTCTTTAAAATACCTATGAACTGTTTGATGCGTGATTGAGCCATATTTCAATTCAAAATAACCAAACATTCTCAATGATAAATTGAAGTCGCATAGCGTACTTATTGTTTTTACCTCATTTTTCCTTTTTTCTATTGCTTGAGTTCATCTGATAACAATTAATTTAAGCCATAAATAAAATTTTTAGTTCTCATTCTGCTGTCTTATTTTGTGCTGTCTTATATTGTGGCCATATAATTTTTTTATTATGATATTAAATTTGAATTCTAAGAAGAATAAAATATTTTATTAATATTATGTTACTTCAGTTTTCAATTTGAGCCACAAATTTTATTATAAACAAATTATTTAATTACAATAATTCAATTTACTTAATTTTAAAATTATTTTTACTTATAAGTGCGTAAGTAAGAACGTACTTACTTTTTCATATAAGCACTTAATTAATTATTGTAAGTAAATCACAAGCAAGTCATAAAGAATTTTTAAAATAAACAAGATTTGGACACCCTGGCTCCAACAAAAGTTTTTTTTTTGGTTTCTGTTGAAAATGTCAAAAAGTTGCAATAAAATCTTTATAAAATTACAAATAAATTTATAAATTATGGTCATAAGTCAAGAAATAGTTTTTTTTTCATTATAATTTTTCTTGTAGTTTTATTTTTTTAATTTTAAAGTTGTGAAATCTTCAATCCCTTTATACATAATATAGTATGTACTTATAAATTTTTTTGTTGAATTTATTACCTTGACTTTTCATCTACAAAATCTTGTACCCATTATACTTTAAATAGATTCTTATAATATGATTTACAAAAATAATTTTTTTTACAAATTGTAAATTATCTTTTCTCTTTTTTATGAATGAAATCATCAAGCTTTTTAAGGCAATTTCAAATTATAAAAAATTATTAAAATTATATAAAATTATTGCGAATTTTTTTTTTAAATTTATTATGACTATAAAAGATTTACTCATCTTTCACTATAAAATATTAAAATTATTTTAGGGAGCAAAAATGTTGCTATTTAAATTAGTTGCTATTTAACCTACTTGTGCTTAGTTGTATTGACTATATTTTTACGATATACCTAAGTTGCTTTCTTAATTTAAAACTGATAAAATTTGCATAGAAGTAAAACACGCTAAGGTTTTTTAGCTGACAATGTAGATTTTTTTGATATCTTAAATGCGTTCTGAAGGAATAAAAATTTAGGTTTGACTTTAGGCAATGTCACCAATAAAACCTATATTCGACCTAATTGGCTTAATGGGTATTTTACGTTATTATTTAAGTATAGTGAATCAGGGTTGAATAAATAAATTTTGACTAGGTACCATAAGTATTTACTAATCCTAAAAGTAATTAGAATCTTGTTCTTAAGCAATTATTAGACATTTCGTATTAGATAATTATATTCATATGAGATTTTAACGATCTTTGGTGCAAAAAAAAACCTCGAAAATTTTTAAACTGTTAAATTGAAGTGCGTAGAATTCAGTAATAAAGGGCATTATATAAAATTTGGACCTTTTAATAGTAGACAGTCAAAATTTTATGTTTTTGACTCTTTTCAATAATTTAAAAAGTGCTGATTTTTTTTCTTCATTCAAGAGCGTTTAAAACAGGTTATTTATTGGGGAAAACATTAAAAATCATTTTTTCAAAATTGTTAACAATTTTTTTTCCTAAAAGTAACTAAATATAAGATTATTAAACACAAATGAGAAATAATAGTTGTTCTTGAATCAGAAAACAAAATTAATATTCAAAAATATGCAAATAAATCTTCTGTTTTAGGTACACATGCATACATACATAGATATACAAATATTTTAATAAATTTTTGTATTAATTATTACAAATGATCAAAAAAATTTTTAAATTATAATTAAATAAAATTTTAGTTCCTAATTTTAGAACAGGGTTAACAAGATTATTGACAATTTTTTTTTAAAACTAAGCATGCATGAATAATTATTTTATGAATATTTTTAGTTTTTTATAAAAAAAATGAATGATTATAAAACCAGTACATAAGTAATTCTGTTAATAAAAACTTCCTGGGCATGTTTATGTTCTTACATTTGTATGGGATATTAAAAATTAATCGCTCTGTTTGTAACGCGGAGACAATTCTGATTTTGAATAAGTATGTTTAGTAAATTAAGACTTCTTAAATTACATAAAATTAACTTTCTAGAAACGCATCATTTGTCAAGCACATTTCCGCTATCAAAATATTCGAGTGCAAAATTCAAAATTAGTAAATTTGGTCTTAAAAAGAAACAAAATTAATTATTTGGATTAAAATTGTAATGAATTCTTAGAGTTTTGGCAGAAAATAAGACTTTGGGATTATACGTTTGACATTTTGTGTTGAATATCAAGAATTAAATCATATTTATACTCGTACAATTAATCATGCATTCATCCGGAAAATCCCAATAAGGAAATTTGTAAATCCCTTTTAATAATAAGGTAAATTTCGGGTTCTGCAACTTTGCAAAATTGATTAGCTACGATTATCTGTTTATGGCTTCAACAACCTTAAATATTTTTATATCTTAATTTACTCGTACTTAAATTTCTTAAAGTACTGTAAGTACTAGTAAAGCAAAGATTGACCCTTTAGCATTTCGTTTTTATCACTAACTCAAGCTGGCCAAAAAATGGCTTATCGGGTTTTTGCATTATTTCACAGATTTACAGTACAGTATGCTTAGATACTAATCAAAAATATATGCATATGGTTGTAAACTAATTAAGTTAAAGTGCAAAAACTTAACATTATTAAAAGTTATTAATAAGAGTTTTCATTAATTTCAATTTATCTCGAAAAGAATATTTGAAATTTTATGAAACTTTATGGCCAGTGTTATGTTAAATTTTAATATGTTGAAATATAATGAAAATACTGAAGTGCTAAAAGTTTAGTAGTAAGTTTAAGGCCATAAAATTCAAGAAAAATCAATACCTGCTACACAAATTCATAAACAATGTATTCAGATTGTATCTCGAAAAATAGTAAAGCTAAATGAAAATTTTAAGAAAAATTTAAAGTAGTAGAGTAGATTATTTGAATGCTTAAAATCTGTGGCATGTTACGGGTTATATCGAGTTGAACATTAATCTTTGATTTTTTAATTTCATTTGATTTTTGTTCGTATTTAAAATTTAGAAGTTTAAAATATTTCAATGTTGTAAATAGAACAATTTTTCTTAAATTAAAAATATTTTCAATTCTTCAGGAAATTTTTAATTATTATGTGCCAGTTTTTTTTTTTTTTTGTAAGATACTCTCATAAATTAACATTTATAGCAAAGTATTATAACAAATATTAATGGCCGATTTACAATACATAAATTAAAAATTTTTGTGATTGTCTCAAGTACTTAAACTATTTACTTTACCTTCCTTTATTTTGAATTCTTTTCAAGTATTTCCATTCATAAATTCAATACAAAATTTTGTAGAACATGTATACACAC